GTTTTGAGTAAGTGAATGCAGTGTAGTTTGAACATCCTAAATAACAATCATTCATCAATTCCACATCAAACAGTATTAATTCTGGTTCAGAGTAAACTCAGAATTGTTAGATTTCTTACATTAGGAAAGTGTATACTCATGGTCAGTCTTCTAGGGGAAAATAGTTCTTTATCCCAGAATCTTATAAAACTGTACACACTAACTCTGCTTAGGGTCCAATAAAAAGCAAGCATGCAAAGAATAAATGAATTTACAAATTCCCATTTCCAGCAGCTATAGAATATAACATGTAAGGAAGTCAATGAGATTCCAGAGTCAGTGCAAAAATCTTCCTGGAGACATAACGTAAAGAGAAATCATACTGACGTTCCAAGAAGTTGCCTCCAAAGGCCTGAAGAAGCTTGTTTTGAGATTTGCAACACAAGTTTTAATGCAAATGAGAGATGTCATTTAATGTTGTGTTAATATTTTATATTTTTTAACAAGCTCTATGCTGTCTTTTGGAACAAATTAAGATATTGAAACTTGATATATTAAGGAAATAAAAATAAGAATTAAAAATACTATGTTAAACTAGTATCTGTCTAAGTAGCCCAAAAGTTCTACTTTAACTTTTCCAGTTTTGCAACAAAAAGAAACTTTCAGAGCAGATTTGGGAAGTAAAGTAAAACTTCACATTACATGAAGCTTAACATTGATAGCAAATGACCCGTTTTTCTCCTCCTTTCCCATTCAGTTAATTACTGTTTTGGAACATTAAGTGCACTCAACTTTATGTCAGGCACTTAACTCCTGGTGCTGATAAATCTGTCTAGCAAAGGATCTGATCCTTGAGGTTAGCGCTTCAATAGATTACTTTAGCAGCAACATATCCTGTAAGTCACCTGCCTGCTTGCCAATTTATTAAAAAAGAAAAAAAAAAAAGTGAATGTATGTTGCTTTCCACATCAAAACCATGTACTCTCTAGAATACATGTGTGTGTGCATGTTAGCATAAACACTGGTAAACATTCAGAGGCAGGCTTGGAGCACCGTATCATAGGCGGGAGGGAATGAGAAAATAACAGCTTACATTTCCATACAGCTGCTATTCCAAAGCATTCCCAGGCCTTATTTTCTTTATAGGCAACTAAAATGCACACTTTCTCCAGGCACCAGCCATTTCTGAGTTGAAACACAGCAGCTGTTCATCCCTTGACAGCAATGCCACACAGTCAGAAGGGCCCGCTGACAAAAACATTTGTTTTCCTCTGAGATAGCTGCATTTCAGTTTTTGATGAAGGTAAACCAGAGTAGCTAAATATTATTTGCAGGAGCCCTTTGATGCCTTGATCACAAGCATATGGCAACAAAGTCTGCTCTGCAATCTATGCCGACAAAAAATTAGGACAACTGAAAGGAAGAATGGTCTGTATACCACAAATGTGAAACTAAGGCACAGGGGGCTGTCTATAAATAGTCTAAGCCTACACCTAGATCATCTAAGGTCCAGGATAATCAGAAGATTAACATTTATCTTCTCCCAGTGCATCACAGTAACATAACTCATCTCTAAATAACACAGAACTGATTTTGATCCACTTGAAACAGGACCTGTACGTCAATTACCACCCCACTTGAGGAACTGTTCCCTAAATGGTTTTCAGAACTGCCATTGGAGTAGCTGTGTACTAACTGTCCAGAGAACAGCTGGATATGAACATAAAGTGGAAGCTCTTAGGTACACCAATTATTCATAAATGCTTCTGCATTTGAAATGGGTTTTATGAATGACAGATATTTCAGAGAGAGCACTATTCTCACATTATCTACAAAGAAAGTATATGAAGCCAGGTTACCCTTGTTGCTCCTTACCACACAGGCAGGAGACCGCATTTGCAATAGTGTTCATTTACATATGCATACACAGAGAGAGACATCCTGCAGGCACAGCATACAAATCTGTTGGTATTGTCCTGCTCATCGCAAACTGGAAAATTTCTCAGGCACCTGAGAAAAGTTCAGTGCCTCATGGGACAGTTTACTTGTGAAATCCAGGTCCTTAAGCACACCACAGATCTCTCTCCATTCTCAAGCTTCCGCATAGCTCCTGACCCTGCTCCTCATCCTCCAAAACAGTTGCTGCTGGCAGACAAATGACCTGAAAGAGTCACAAGTCAAGCAGTGACAGCAGGATTCACGTACACACGCACACACACACGCTCTCCTCTGCTACCTGGTGTTGACAGGGCTTGTGCAGAGAGTAAGATTAAAGCTTTAACATCCCATTGTAATACATGGATCAGTTCACCCTTCTCAAAGCTACTGTCTCCAGCTGTCTGCAGATAAGGTATTACCAATAAGAAGGTGTCTGCCAGTGCCACCTAAACAGCTTTTTCTCACACTTGTGAGTACTAAAATAAAACAATAGCTAAGAGTCTGCGACTTCAGGAGTCAGAAAGGTAGCACAGCACTAGAAGCCCTACTCAGCTCTCACTCAAAGACACTCCTTTTGGCAAATTCAAGTCAGTTATGAAAGTAACTCTTCCTATAAGGCTGAGGCAATTATTTTAAATGTGGGGAAGTCCTTCTTAGTGCTCCATTTCTTTCTCAGAAAATCACCATCCGCCAGGGTTTATGTGCTTCAGCCTAGTCACAAATGGGGAGTATGCTTACCCTATACTCTGGGGTGAGCTTGCTGAGAGTAACACTGTATGTATATGACCCAGAGTATGTGAGTTAAGCGAGTCCCACAAAATTTAATTGAAACTATGAACTTCTATCATTCAGGTGCTTCTGAAATTTCCGTTCTTCTTAGGGTATGTTAAAAACTGCTTCATTTATAATACATGGCGTACCATTTGGACATATGAATTACAAGAATATATTGTCTTGTCTTATGAAAATAATACAACAGAAAAGCTTAAAAGCCACGTTTAGAGCATTTTAAGAGCACTGCTGCATAATTAAACAATCAAACTTTGATTCCTGTTTTAAATTACACTTAGGACCAAAAGCTTTCAATAGCATATGTAAGATGTATGGATATTTAACAGCATCCTTTCGAATGACTACAAGGCACCAGCATCTGTTGCCACCTTTGCGCCTATTAAAGTGCCACGATAATAGATGCTAGTTATGATAGGCTTTTAGCCCAACTGTTAGAGAGGAGCTGTCAGTTCATGAAGAAAACAGGTAATTATAGCTGAGGGGTTTAGTGCAATAACAATTATCCCTTAATATATTTCCTTTAGATCAAGGGAAACGTATTCAAGTTTTCAGTACTCTACTAGTACTCACAAGTAAAAACTATCACCGATGAGTTATGAAGAGCAAACAACTAAATAAAAGACTGTATGACGATTTCTAAGCAGCCTGCAAGAAATGTACTGTTAAAAGTCAATTAAAAGTCCAGCCAGGCAGGGTACTGCCCAAGAGAAGGGGCAAAGACTTGTAAGAATCTTTTATTTCCCACAGTCTCTCATCCAGAAACACCCAAATTATTAACTTAAGACAGGAAAACTTCAAAATATTTCCTGTTCTGGTGCTATTATTGGGGCACGATGGCAGTTATTTCTGAATACTCAATGTCCCATTGCAGGAATCATACCTTTTTCTGGAATAGTACCTATCTGCTGGGGGAAAAAAGCTGCAAAGAAACAGAAGGCGGCCCTCTCACGTACAGACAAGGAACTGACTGTAAACAACTTAGTGGATCCTGAGGCAATAGCCAGAAAATGCTGGGTAGGTAGGGAAAAAAAGATATATCAGTTACATGCAGTTTTTCTTCTGGAAAAAGGAAAAGGAAGACAACATGCAGCATTCTGGAGCTTACGAGGACAGTCCTACAGCCATAGCAACTACATAGGATCAATCTATACAGCAGGAA